AAAGCAACTTCTAAAAATTCTGCAAGGACACAGAAGAACAGTAACTTAATCATGCAAATCTTCACTGAATAATGTGTCAGGCTCTATACTAAAACCTGAGGAACAGATGAACAACACTGTCCTTATCCTGTTCTATTTTTTGTAATTTTGCAATTAACGCTATTTAGGTGTCATTTATAATGCATTTCAAATGAAAGCTAGATATATAACATTAGGAAGAAATCCAATCTGAGTAGAATCACTAAAAGGTTACATTCAGTATCCAGAGACATACCAAAAATGCTTACGTATTCCCATGCTTCATGATGTGGGGACCTCTGGTGGCACAGCTTGTGAGTTGCAAGGCTTATCTCGAAAAATAAAGGCTGTGGATCTCCTGCATTCAGAATCTACAAGGGGCTCTAAATGAGAAAGATGGGCTGTCTCCTCTCTGTTTTACAGGCTGGGGAATTCACTATGAGAAAGAGCGAACTCAACGGCAATGATTTCCTGCTAGGGATTTCCTTGGCCTATTCCAACCTGCATTATGCAGATGGCACAACCCTGCTTGCTGAAACTGAGGAGGACCTGAGGCACTTGCTGCAAAAGGTCAAGGTCTGCAACCTTCAATATGGATTGAAGTTCAACATTAAGGAAACAAAGATTCCTACCACTAGGTATTTTGCAGCATCATGATAGATGGTGAAGAGACAGATTGTTAACAGCTTTAATTTGCTTGGCTCCACAATCAACACTCTGGTACCAGCAGCCAGAAAATCAAAAGACTAACTGCTTTGGGAAGGGCTGCTGTCAGACACCTCTCCAGAGTGCTGAAGGGCAGCAATGTCTGGAGATCAAGGTGCACCTGATCCAGCCCATAGTCTTTGCCATAACTTGCTATGCATCAGAAAGCTGGACAATGACTAGGGATGAAAGAAGAATTGATAACTTTGATTTATGGTGCTGGGAAAGAGTATTGAATAAACCATGGACAAACTGCTTGAACAGATTCATCCTTGAGTGGGAGAAACCAAGCTGCTCCTTGGAGGCAAGGATTCTGAAGCTTTCTCTGACATGCTTCTTGGGCATGTTGCAAAGAGTGACCTGTCCTTGGAGAAGGTATCATACTTGGGAACAGTGCAACAAAGAGACCCTTGATGAGATGGATTGATTCAGTGATAAGGGTAATGAGGATGGGTGTTTCAGAGTCACTAAGATTGGCACAAGAGAGAGCAGGGTTCAGAGCTGTTATGCACAGGGTCAGTATGAGTCACAAGCAACTTGACAGCACATAACAACCACCACTGCAACATATGCTAAAGCCACCAATTTTCTACCTGCTATCAGTGTAGCTGTCTTGGTTAAGTAGACACATATGTTATCTCCAGAATTAGTCTATAAACTTTTGCAGATGCACTGGTTCCTAGGTTTATAAAAGTTAATAAATCCTCCTGAAAAGGTTTAAGATAAAAAAATGAAAAAGTATTTCAGGTCAGAAAATGGCACTGGAAATAGATGAGAGGGCCATACAGCCTCTCGCAAAACTGATTCTCATATTCCAGGTCTGAAAGGGCGATTTCTTTTTTGTCTACAATCTTCCCGACTCCTCACAATTCCCAGATCCCTGTCATCACTCATGTGGGTATGCACGAGGTGCAGTGTGAGGAGCTCAAAGAACTTCACGGATGCTTTTTCATCTAGACTGAGACAAAACAGGGAACACGAATAACAGAAGAATCAACGCTTTGGAGTTGCGCTGTTATGGACTGTATCATGGACTGTCAAAAGAACAAAAAGTCTGTTAGGGAGAAAAGTACAACCAGGGAGCTTCTTAGGGGCAGGGATAGTGAAACGTCATCTCACATACTTAGGATATGTTGTCAGGAGGGACCAGTTCCTAAAAATACAATACTGGGAAGGAGAGGGGGTGGGTCAGAGGAAGAGAGGAAAACCCTCAATAAGATGGAATGACACAGTGACTGCAATAATGGACTCAAGCACATCAGAGATGGTGTGGATGGTGCAGGGGTGCAGGAAAGGACATGGTTCACATCTGTTGTTTATAGGGGGGTCATTATGAGTCCTAGTTGGCTCAGCAGCACCTCACCACCACCAGTGGCATTCAGTGAGAATGTAACAGCTTCAGAGAACAGCTCAATACTTGAGAAGTTAAGGACCAAGCCATTTAACTAAGACACATGTTTTAGAGTATATCAACCTTGGTTGTCAGGATAGCCACCAAAAAACCCCCAGACAACCACCAAAAAAAGTCTGAGGAAGAAATGGAGAATAAATTCTCCCCTACAAGACTCTAAATGTTAAATTTAAGAAATTAACCTCCATTATTACCTTTATAATAATCTTTGAAATTGGCTTTAATATGCATTACTATTTAGAAAATAATCTTTTAAAGTTCTTTATACTTTCGAAGAGCTAAAATTCTGCTGTTAATTCTTGGAGGATTGTAGAATTCCTTTTAATATCTGAAAATACCTCTGGAAACTATACACTATTACACAAATGAAATTTGGCATGCATCTTGTGAGCTATTATTACAGTCCATTCATTAATCTTATAATGAGAAACCAAAACAAAAAGCTATTTATTATTGAAAACTATCAATGAAAATCAAATGAACAGCAGCGGGACACTGATCTAAGGCCGGGAGGTAAGTCTCTCTTATGGCACTCAAATATAACTGCATCCTCAATGCATGTTGCTGCTGTTATGTGCCATGGAGTTGGAACCAATTCATTGCTGACCTTCCAGTGGGCTTTTAGAGACTGTAAACTGCATGGGAGCAGAACAACTATCTTTCTCCTGCACAGCAGCTGATGGATTCGAACGGCATGCCTTTGAGTTGGTAGCACAACTCCTGAACCACTAGGCCATGAATAGAGTAAGGCTTTTAACCCGTGAAGGATCCTCAAATGTTGATGTGGCATGACTGATGAGAAACAACTACAAACATTGGGACTACAGTGCAGCTTCTTACCACTAGGCCACCAGCTCTCCCTCCATTAATAATAGAAACACAGCAAACACAAAAAGATCCATATTTGTGCCCATTCCAAAGAAAGGTGGTCCAACAGGATGTGGAAATTATAGAATAGTATCATTAATATCACACACAGAGTAAAAATATTGGGTTGCCTGGCTCGCAAGCTAGTTAGAGCCCAGGGATTCCTGCTCTTCCCAAGTCGAGGGGTGTCTCTTGAATCTAGTTTCCACAATGTCCCCTACACCGTTGATGCTGGGCATCTGGCTTTCCCACCCAATTCTTGAAGCCAGGATCCAAACTCAAACTATCAGCTGTCCAAGTCTATTAGTCTCCCTTTCTCGAATCAACAAAGCAAGGCTCATGTTTGCTTCGTAAGAAGACAGTGGCAAAAGCAGACCATCAGTTCATCCTATCACCACGCTACAAACCTACTGTGTGTAGCACCTGGCTCCATCAGGCTTCTGTAGAGACTCGGGAGGGGAAGGCAATGCAGAGAATTTGACCTGTCCGTGATTTTTGCCTTGTGACATTTGCCATTTAACTCACACCACATCACTTTGTGAAATTTGTACCAAGTCCTACTAATTGAGGATTTCTACCAATCTTTGCAGTCTACTGATAACAGGTGATGACAAGGGCATGGGAGTTGCCCTTACCCATCCATCAAGGACAAACGACAATCAAGAAAAAAATGCACTTTGTACAGCACCTTACCAGGAATATGCTAAACTTCTGGTTTAACTTACTATTGATTTTTATCATTTACAAATTTTCCTAAACATCATGGAGCACTTTTCAGTGCCTGGAAATGAATCACAACTTCTTACCTCTTTAATGAATGTTAGAGCTATAATGAGCTCTGGCGGCCCAGCAGTAAGAACCTGCATTGCAATGCTAAAGGCATGTGGTTTGAATCCACCTGCTGCTCTTTGGGAGGATGGGCAATCTCCTCCAGTGTAATTTACTGCCTCTGAAAAGCCTCTGAAGGGTCAGCCAGCAACGAGTCAGTTTCAATTCGATGGCACATAATAACAACAAATAAATCTGGAAGAGAACTGAGCCGTCCCAGAGCTCTTAGCACAATCTTGTCTCAAAACAGACTCAGACAACTGAGGAAAGTACTTCAATGTATGCTTCAAATTAACTAAATCGGGAGCTCTGGTGGCAGAGTTCAGAGGGTTGTGCTGTTAAACCGAAGGCGGCCCCTCTCTCGTGGTTTGAAACCACCAGCGGCTTCACAGGACATAGATGGGCAATCGCCTCCTAGGTGATTTACTGCCTCAGAAAACTGCTATGAGTTGTTCTGACCCAAGGGCAATGAAAAAGAGAAATATGCTAAACATGGCCAATCTTTACCTATGTTGACTATTTCAATAAAAAATTCAGGTATAGAGTGGTAGGTACATTATCAACTGAAAAGATTAAAAAAAAATAATAAGAGCCACAAACTCAAAACTAAACTGAATCCTACTTTAATTGAAGCTTGTGAACCATAAAGTTCTACAGAAACTTTACAGCTCTTTTGGAACAGCCTCTGAAGAGAATGAGGAAAATTCATCACCCACCAAAGCTTCTCTGTATCAAGTTCTGGAGGACCCAGATCCCGCCAGCATTGCAGTTGTTCCCAGTCTGTCCAATCTTGATTTCATTAAAAGATAAAAAGAGCTACAGTATATGAAACTATTCTGTCCTGAAGAAGTTGAAAGACTCTAATTGGCAGAACATTCAAAACGTAGATAAAGGAAGCCAGCCCATCTTAACAAGTTACTTTGCTAGTGGATAGGAAGTGGAATGAATCGCCCTGGACATAATTTCATTAAGGCCTCGAACTATCCAGGAAAGAGTAGCATAGTTACATCATTTAATAATCCAAGTTTACAAAAAGTTGATCACTCAAATCAAGAAAAGCTTGTGCCCACAATAGCTTATTTTTAAAGGATCATCTCCCCCTCAAAACAATCCACATGCTGCCACTCTTTTTGCCTTCTTTCCCAAGTTGAAAACACTAACTTGATCTCCTCAGGAGGGATGAGCAGTCCAAGATTACAGTGGGCTGAAGAACAAGCTCTCAGAGAATGTAAAGGCAGGAAATAAGCAAAGCTGGTAGGGAAGACTAAGAGTCCTTTGTTTCTAATTCATCCTAAAATCAAGACTTGAGACTTGCATTGACCAGTCCTCTTCTCTAGCTACTGGAGAGGAGATTCCAGAGGGTACGTTTCTGGAGCAAAGATGGTTGACTAGCTGCCCTGTAGGTGGCAGTCAAGGAGAAGAGGTAGAGCTTTGGTAGTTAATGAGTAAGTGCCTGTTTAGTCAGCCTCTCTTCTTCCCTCAGCTCCCTTCAACCAATGTAGATGCGATGGAAATCGTTGGCCCCAAAAGCAGCATTACACTTGGGACATTTGCGCTGGCGAGTATCATATCGAGTCTTCACACACTCAAAGCAGAAAACATGAAAACACTTGGTAAGGACAGCATCCTTTTTACGCATGTTGCAACATGGACAGGTCAGGCGTGCCTAAAAATGAAAAAGGGTCAGAGTCTGAGCAACTGTTCAATTTATGATTCAATGGCTCTCACATATTAATAAACAAGAAGAAGGGGAAAGAAAAAAAAACAAAAAAAACCAAACCAATATCCAAAAAGATCTAAGGCCAGAGTTCTAGTCCCACCTCTCCCCTTCAAATAAAAACATTCTGACTGCCTACAAGTGAAACAAAGTTCAGTATTTACTCTCCCAGTTTATCAGGAGGCCACTTCTGGGCTTGACAAGCAACACAAGGACATCACTGAAGCAGTCCGTCTAACCTTGTAATCCTTAATCTCCTCCATCAAAATCTCATCACATTTGGGCACGTTGTCTGGTTTCTTTGTTGTTTCCAGCTTCCTTCGAAGTCTAGAAATGTCTTCCTGTGGTAACAAATAATGCCCCATTAGATACTCTTCCCCACACCTGCCATTTTTTGGAAAAATTAACTGCTACAACTTGAACTTTCTGTTCATTTATGTTAGCTATCCTTTAGAAATATAAAGAATAGCAAATGGCAAGATATTATTGTTTAGTTTCAGAGCAAGCAACCATATCATATTCTTAAGCTGAAGCTGTATCTAACTATTGCCAATTTATTATGTGAGCATATAATTAGCGTTCACTCACTCTCATTACCATCACTGCAGAAGCAATTCACAGCTGATCCTCCACAGATTTTCAGAAGCTATAAATCACACAGGAGGAGACTGCCCATCTTTCTACCCTGGAGCAGCTGGTGGATTCAAACCATCCACCTATGTGTTACCAGCATAATTCCCCACCAAGAAGGACCCACCAGAGCTCCTCTTGAAAGAGTTCAGAGGGCAAGAATTTTCAATTAAAAAAAAAAAATTAATAGGCCATTTTCTTTTAAGATAACAAGGTTAAAACCAGAGGCAGATAGGATTAATTTATGAACACATGAATTAGGGTTAAAAGGCAACATGAGAAATAGCTGGTATTTGAAATATAGAGCTATTACAGGAGACTTCTAATTTCCTCCACTTGTCATGCTGCCACATGTGTAACAATCCAGTAATTTATTCATTCCAAGGGGCAAGGCACAACTTTGGAGACTATGGCAGTGAAGAAAGGATGCTACTTCTTCCCTCAAGAAATTCCCCTGAGCCTTTCTTTAATATTCATAGCTCACTTCAAAGCCCAGAAAATACCTAAGAGGTAAATGGAAAGGAAAGACCACTGTCTTGCCTGGGCCCGTTTGAAATTGAACATGTCCTTTTCCTTAGTGACACTGTTCTCCACAATCTCATCCTGAAAATCATGGAGCTTCTTCTGAGCCAATTCCAGTTGTGTTTTGAGGTCATCTGCAAGCTGTGCTGCTTCCATTGCCTATGGAGAACGTACCAATAACATCATCCCATCACCCTCTATTTGTGGTGAAACAAAATGTTAATCCAAAATGAAGGAACAAATGTCATGAGTTTGTTCTGAGACAAACCGTCACCTTGCGTTTGTTCATCTCCAAGGCCTGGGTCCGGAGGCCCAGTTCCTTCTCCCCTGTGCCAATGTTGCTCTGTAACAGATGCTCCTTTTCTTCCAGCTTCCTTACCACCTGTAACTGGGCATCAACCTGTGTGGAGAAATCAAACTTTAACACAGAACAGGGAGAAAAACTAAACAGTGCTTATAGCAATCTACAGACTCACAAAGCAGAAAATATTAGGGATCTTGAACTAGTAATGAATTTAGTCATGCATGCAATTTAAAATAAAGAAAAGCTTCACTTTAAATATCTTACTTAAAGATTCAGGGAAACCACTGGAAACATTCTTCTTCAGTGTCAAGAAAAGAAAAAAATTTCTAGATCTTTAACTTCTCCCACTATATGGATCCTCAAGGTCTAGCAAGTCACTCAAAGAAAAGTATAGGTGTTTCTCTTCCAGAATGGTCACAGGCTTTAAAAATCCCATATCTCCATCCCACAAAAAACAGCAGTCTTTTTCTTGAAATTCATGCAGAGTAGAATCAAACAATATTAAAAGTATTAAAAGTAAATTCACACATGTACTTCCTAACCTCACAAACTCCCATCCCAATTGCTGAGGTAGCCAGGTAACTACTCTTACAGATTCTTAGGCAGCCTTCCAGAAATCTTCTAAATACAGAGCACACAAACATAAATACATACACAGTATTTTTTAAATATGAAAGAAATCATTTGATTACTTTTACATATTAACAGATACAGAATTAACTGTACTGTTCACTTTTGTAGAAATGTGTAATTTATAGGAGAGACTATTCCTTGGAAAGACAGACACTTGGACAGGTAGATGGTCAACAAAGGAGAGGAAGACCCTCAATGAGCTGGATTAACACAGTGACTGCAGCAATTGGCTTAACTGGTCGGAAATGATGAGGATGGCACAGGAGAGGACAAGGTTCAGATCTGTTTGTTCATAGGGTTACTGAGTCATACTCAACTTGACAGCACCTAACAACAACCGAATAATGCCTCTGTCACATGCTGCTACAAAGTCAACTCACAGCAACCCTGTGAACAATTAGTCAGAACCTTGTTCAGTCCTGCCATCCTCATCATGTCTGCCATGTTCAAGCAGTCACTGTGTAAACCACCTTTCTCTTTTTTATTGACCCTCTATCTTTCCTAGCATGAAGTCTTTACAAAGGACTAGCACGTCCTGACAACGCAGGCCTCACGCACGTGGGATGACGTTTCAGCTTGCCTCTAAGGAACAGCGTGGCTGCACGTCCTCTAAGACAGGTCAGTTTGTTCTCTAGATAATCCATGGCACAGTCGATACACTTTTTGCCAACATCACAATTCAAAGGCATCGATTCTCCTTCAGTCTTCCTTATTCTTGGTCCAACTTTCAGATGTATGTGAAGCAACTAAAAATACCAGGGCTTAGGTCAGGCCCACCTCAGTCTTTAAACAGACACCCATGCTCTTTAGCACCCTAACACTGGCACCTAACAATGTGGGAGGAAATAAAACTATTTTGCACACTAATTAGTTTGCTTTTCACTTTTTTCTTCCCATTATTATAAGTAATGTTATCATCATTCTTTTACACCCATCTTTTCACAGAAAACACTCTAGTTGTAGCTTCAGAATGAAGCTTGAATCATCCTGATACCTGAGTCTTCAGAGTCAGAACCTGGTCAGCCAGCTCCTCCTTCTCCTCTTTAAGCAGTTTGTGAATCTGATTGGACTTGATACGTTCTGACATGAGCTTGAAATTTGCATCATCCTTCTCCCGTAACTGCTGCATCAAGCGGATATTCTGTTCCTGCATGTCTTCAAAGGCCTGCCCTGTTACATCCATCTCAGACAGGAGAGCTTCTTCCTCCTAAAAGAAGAAAAGCGTTCTCGTCAATAGCTTGAAAATCTTGATTTCAGTAGCATGTTAGGACAGTTCAAACCAACTGCTAATGTTGTCAGGCGCCATCTTGTCGACTACGCCTCGGGAACTAGACATCTGAACCTTGCCCCATCCTGTGCCATCCTCACAGTCTCTGATATGCTTGAGTGCTAACTCATTTCTAATTTCAGAGAAATGTGCACACGACATGAAATGTGCCCGCTATTTATCTAGGAATCATGGGGTCCCATGAGTGTAGAGGTTAAGTAGGCGGCCGCTCACTCAAAGCCTGTTTTCTCAGTGGGAGGAAACTGTGGCGGTCGGCTTCTGAAAGATGTACAGCCCTGGGAACTAGTGCAGTAATTCTACTGCACCTAGTGTCACTATGAATTTAAATCAGTGCCAACAGGCTTGGTAATGCTATGTAATTTAGACAGAGATGTAATTTTAAGTTTAATGCTGTCATTAGTTAGTCTTATCAGTGCAAAAGAAGGCCAGTTACCTGAAGCTAGTGATAATGAATTCAGGTCTTATACTCATTACTTCATCAGGCCTCAGATCCACTGAAAGCAGACAACAACTACATATGGCTTAATCTACAAACTAGGGTGTTCTGGCAGCTTAGCGGAAGTGTAAAGGTTTGCGATTTGAATCCACTGGCTGCTCCATGGGAGGAAGATGGGTAATCTCACGAAACTGCAATTTACTGCAACGGAAAACCTTGTTTTAATCGGGGAGCTCCACCCCACTCTCTGTCCACATTGGGTAGCCAATCATTAACACATTTGACACACCAGTGTCAAAGTAAGAGATCATGAAAACATGGAGTTTCAGCTCATAACTTTATTGCACAATGTTTTTCTAGGCATTTTTGGTACCTTTATTATAGAATATGATTAAAATCTACTAAGATTTAAAAACTAAGAAATATTCATCTTAAGAAGACAAAGTTCTCCTACAGTTAACATATTAGTTGTTTATAATTTTTCACTTGGGGCACAGTATTCTTGGTTCCATCTACTTTAATCACAATGTGTATGACATTTTAGATCTCTTCTTTTCTACTTTGTAGGCACTACTGTTATTAGGTACTGCTAAATCAACTATGATACATAGGGACCCAATGAAGAACCGATGAGAACCTTGCCCTACCCTCCAGCACCCTCATGAAGTCGGCCACGCTCATGCTCAGGCTTACTGTTAGAGTCGCTGGGTCAAACCACCCCTTTGAAGATCTTCCTCTCTTTCACTGACCCACACCCTTCCCAGCATGATGGCTATTCCTAAAGTCTGGCCTCTTCTCACAACGTATTTGAAGTATGCGAGATCAAGTTTCACCATCCTTGCCTCGAAGGAGCACTGAGTATATGCTTTACTTCAGAACAACAAGAAAAGGATCAAAATTTAAAAATGCAAATTCACTGCCATCAAGACAGAACAAACTCATAGCTGACTCTCCAGCAGGTTTCTGAGGCTGGAAATCTTACAGGAGAAAAACTGCCCATCTTCTCCCCATAGCGCTGCTGGTGGGTTCAAATGGCCATTGGTTTAACAGTGCAGCTCCCCACAGACCAGAGACTCCTAATGAAAAAATGATGTTGTTATATGATGTCAAGTTGGAACTGACTCACAGCTGACCCTCTAGTAGGTTTTCAAATCACGTGGAAGATTTGGCAGGGCAACTTCTTACCAATACGCCACCAGAGCTAGATTCTTCAATCAATCTACTTGCTTGAACAATCATCTTCCTTTTAAAAATAAGAACAAAATTCCTGCCTCACAAAAATGTAAAACAAAATAACAGATAGAAAAGATTTCAATGTTCATTGGGAAAAGAAAATAAATAGGACCAAAACCAGACTGGAATAAAAGAGCACTTGTCACAGGCAGTACTTTTAAGTACCATTTACATAAAGGTCCCTGAAATGAAGACAGCATGCCCACCTGCTTGGCCACGGCCAGCTTCTTCTGCAGGTATTCTATCTGCTCCTCTACTGCCCGGATCTTCCTCAAGGCATCTTCATCAGCCATTTTCTTGTTTTCTTTTTTCTCCTTATCTTCCAGCTCCTTGAGTCTTTGCCTTAGATCTTCCAACTATAAAACGAAAGGAATCAAACAAAAATGAGAAGCAAGTTGTCATTATAATCATAGACCTTTGTCATCAGCTCGACTCCAACTCACAGCAACACTGCAGAGCAGCACTGCCTCACAGGGTTTCCCACAGCAGCTAAAGACTGATGATGAGTTCACACTGCTGACTTCTCTCTCAACTAACAGTCAAGTGCTTAATTACTTGTGCCACCAGAATGTCTTAAGTTATAAATCAACTTAAAAAAATTAATGCTGGGCAACACTGAAGGAAACATTCCAATATCACATGCTTCTACGGACAACATTTTTTTAACAGAAGATATATATACTTTTTTCTTTACAATAGCGGCGTTTCTCATTTTTTCCTTCCAGGCTTCGTATTTTCAAAGATTTAAGTTATTTTTCTCAAAAGTCATCAGAAAATCACTATACCAATAATTTATATGGGGAGAAGAGGTACCAAAAAAATGTGGAAAAGCCATTTCTTTGCCAAGTAATACTATTTTAGCACTGCCTTACAGAGAATTTGAAAATCTCTAGCTTATAAAGTCTTTGAAGAAATAGAAAATGTTGGAAAAAGAAAACTATAATCATCACATGTATTAAAAAAACAAATTCCCACAAGCAAGGATTTTAACCAGAGTAACAGGTGAAAATAGACCCCATTACCTCTGCCTTTGACTTCTTCTCTGCTGCCATCAACTGAACTTTGTCCCGCTGTTCCTTCGGGGCAGAGCGGTACATGTCCAGTAATAGTTTCATCTCTTTCTGGCTCTCCTGTGCCTTCCTACGATTCAGGGGTTGGAGTGGTGATGATAAAGGCAAAGAAATGGCATAATGAGAAATCAAAGGGCATCAAGGCAAGACAATGATGAATTAAGCAGTACTCTATTTTAGACTTTATATACATCTAAAGCAGAAAATATTTGGCCAGACTATCAAGAAACTTCTAGATATACTAACAAGGCAAAAACAATTAAATTGTATTAATGATTTCTCCCTTAAGTCAAAGTTTTCCAGCAGAGTTATGAAAGAAATAACAAAGTAAAAAGGAAAATTTCTGGGGCCTTACTACCAGAAACTGAGATTCAATTACAGGCTAGAAATTCATTTCAAATAAATCATCACAAAGATTATTTTTCTCCCTTAAAAAAAAAAGAAATGGGAAAATATACGACAGAAGGGAAAAAGTAGAGTGATCAAAGTTACATTGGTTGCTTAGTGGTAAGAACCTGCACTGCAGCCCCAAATCCATGCAGTTCCAATCCACCAGATTCTGCAGGGGAGAAGGATGGGCAATCTCCTCCTGTGCAATAAACTGCCTCTGAACGGCCACCAGAGGGTCAGCTTTGGGTTGGTTCCACCTCGACAGTACTCAACAACACTTGACAGGTAAATGATTAACCATCTGCTTCAGATGAAAACATCTTTAAATAACTATTAAACCTGTTCTCTATATTTTGCTGTAGTTGCTGGGTGGCATCAATTGTGACTGATAGCCATCTCAAAGGGATAGGGTAGAAGTGCTCCACAGAATTTTCTCGGCTATAATCTCTCCCGCCACCCTTCAGATCTTACTTATTTCGCTAATGCTGTACAACAGAACACACACCAATTCAACAGTTTCTACTGTTCATCACAATTTAGTGACACTGATCACATTCCCCCGAGTTGAACAACCATTTCACTCTCTTGACTTGCGATATTTTTGTTTAAGGTTTGAAGATTACTACAGAACAAAGCTTTCAGAGGTTTATCCACTTCTACGTTTCCAGACAAATCTATAGAGTTCATGAGAATTTGAAATTGTACTTTTTCTCCCTTTTAATAAGAATTCTTCTATAATATCTTTAGTTAAAATGTTCAGTTATAATAATTAAGCACTATCCAATTATTCTGGTCTATAGCAAAAGAGGCAGCTATTGATGGAGGCAGTTAATCACACATTCTACATTTTTCTATACTTTTACATACAAAAGGAGTTCAGGTCTGTTTAACACTGTGGTCTTCTAAAATCAAAGATAATAAAGAGTCAATCACAAAAACTGCTGAACATGAAGTATTTAGCCTAATTAACCATTTCTATCAGAAAACTTTAAGAGAAGGGATAACACAGGAGATTGTTACAAAGGTACTACGGCTTCAAGGTTTGTAAGATAAACCTAAGTCAGCTTTTAAAATGATCTGGCATTTACATGAAAGAGGTTTTTAGGCAAAAAGATTACATACTCTACTATAATAAAATTACAATTAACACCAGCTATTTATATGTAGCAGTAAGTAATTTCCAATCTTTTTTTCCCATACATGTTAAACCCCATAACGGCAGCCCTTCCTTTAACTGGTATTCATGAGGGATAGAAGCTAAACCAGCAGGGTTTGCTGACATCTGAACAATGAACCAGGTCACACAACATTTTTGTGGCTACACACTTGATCGAAAGTTAAGGCCTCATTAATTGTACATAATACAATTAATAGATGTTATGCCATCATCCAAAAAAATGCTTACTTGATGTCTTAACCCTAGTTTTGGGATAAGAAATAGTTATTCTAAATTTTGCTCTGAAGGAGCTCTAGTGGCTCTACTGGCAAGAAGCTGTGATACAACCCCAAAAGTATGTGGTTCAAATCCACCAGCTGTTCCATAGGAGCAGGAGACAGAGGGGCAATCTCCTCCAGTGAGATTTACTGCCTCTAAAAACCTGCTGGATGGTAAGCTATAGGTCAGTTCTGACTCAAAGATAAACACAACAAGTACTGCTCTTACTTGAGTTCAATCTTCAACTGTTTGATAATTTCTGCTTCTTTTTTCCTTCCATCATCATGTTTTCCTTTCTCTTTATCCTTGGCAGAATCTCTGTCTTTTTCGGACTCTTTCAATTTCTGCTTCTCTCGCTCCCTCTCCTTTTCCTTCTCTCGTTCTCTTTCCTTCTCTCGCTCTCTCTCTTTCTCTCTCCGTTCTCGTTCTCGCTCTTCTTCATCTCGTTTGGACTTAACTTCGTTGACTTCCTCCTGAGACGCCTTGGATGCCGAGGTCTGTGTGGTTAAGTCCTCGGGATCTTGTTTCAGCTCTGAAGGCTCATCTTTAGGGTCCTCAGTACTTGACTGAGATTGGAGAAGGCCGCTGCCACTGCGGAGACGTGTCTGGGAGGACAAAGATGGGAAAGGTGTTCATGAAGGACACACATACCTTACAGCAACCACAGTGCTCTCCAAAGGCAGCTCTGCAAACTTCAATGTAAATACAGTCAGTCCTCTGTATTTGTGAGTTCTGCATCTGCAGATTCAATATGCTTCGGACAGAAAGCATTTGTGAAGAGTGGTCAAAGAAATCCTGAGAATGCTTTTTACAGCAAATTTACATTGTATTAGGTGTTATAGGATTTGTTTAGATTTTATGCAAATTAATATACCATTTCTTTCAAAAGTTTGAACAGTCACAGATTTTGGTACCTGAGGGAGGTCCTTAATCCCCCACGTATACTGAAGGAGAACTGTAATAGTAACTCTATTTCTTTTGATTACCTTATTCAGATCAGACTGGGCTTCTCTTAATTTCCGCTTGTATCGCAGGACCTCTCCCTTCAGCTGGTGATTGTGATTCTGGAGGCTACTGATGAGATGGCGCATCTCTCGATTGATAGGGCCTAAAGTACAACAGCAACGTTAGGAGAACTGTGTGAAGTGCAAAGAAAGAGCAGAACACGTCAGGAATCTCTGAGGAAAAGGGAAAATTACCCAGAGAGATGCCATCTTAGAAAGGAAACTCATCACTTAAAAAAACACACAGGTGGTGAACCAAAATGAATTACACGAAGTACAGAAGTCACGAATTACAGAATTTAAGGTGGCTCAGGACTTCTGAGTTGCAGTCACGACCAATGAATTCTAGTGAGTGCACTGTCTTCTAAGACAGACTTTCACAGCTTCTACTGCAGGGCAGAACGAGAACAATAATACCTGCTTGTTCATTGGCAGCCAGTGTCTGCTCAAATTCAATTCGCAGCATTTCATACTCTTTACGGACCTGGGCCAGGGTGTCTTCAAGCTGGATCACTTCAGTCCTCAATTTCTTATGAAGACTAACCTCATCGCGCTACAATCAACCAGAAATTCTTATCAAAACAAGGAAATGTCATCATACTCTATTACTCCATTGCTAAATGTGATTTGTAAGGACTAGGAAGATCTAAGAAAGAAAGGAGTATTCTTTTTTCCTTTTTCTTTTAAATTTATTATTAATTTCAATGAAAACTTAAGAGAGACTTTGGATTTCCATTCATTCATTGTTGCCCTTCTCTCCCCTCCCAACCCTCCCCACTAGTATACTACCCTCTTGGAAAAATAAAAGAAAAATTCTTTCATTGTTTTACAATCCCTCTCCCCAGGTCCATTCCACTCTGGACTCCTGTCATGACAAAAATACCTAATAATTTAAGAAAGGAGTATTCTGAAATGTTCTAATCCAATCAACACTTAATGAGGATTGGCCAGCTACAAAACACTTAACTAAGAACTGAATAAAGAAAACAGACCTCAATTCTGAATATGGTGTAATTTAGTTGGAAAATTAAACCATCCATACAAATAGTACAAAACATATATAAACTAAATTCACAGATATTAATTAAAAGGCCAAATACAAAACACTGCATTAAGGACATGGGAAATAGTCTCCTATTTCCTATAATAAATGTAGGACTAAAACAGTTACTGTCTTTGAAAAAAAAAATGCATCTACCTATGCCAACACACGCTATAATGGCATGCAAGCAGACATACAGTTCCTATCCAACATCCTCCTCTCAGTGCAGGGCTTCAGGAACACTAGAATACCTGTCATGCTGTGTTATATTTTCATACACACAGTCCTCAATGCTGAGGATGCCTTGGTCCTGTTCTTGCCTATCAGTAAATTTTAATTTATCCCTAAAAGTGACACTTAACTTCCTCAAGAGCAATAAAGAAGGCTCCACCATCAGGCCAGATGCTCTCTGTCCTTTAATCATTGCAACTTTTTGCAGTTCCTCCACTGTATCACACTCTATTTTAAGGGATACTTTCTACCTACTGGTCTATAAGACCCCTGAGGGCAAAAGCCCTGTTATCTCATCTTTGCATCGTCAACATTTGGTCCTCTCTAAAAAATGTTTGCTGTGAATGACAATGAATTGAGTATTAAGAGAGTAAATCAGCATTTAACAAACAAAAGACATCTGGTCCTCTCTAAAAAATGTTTGCTGTGACCGGCAACAAATTGAGTATTAAGAGGGTAAAATGTATGCAACAGAAAAGTTTATATGCAGAAGACAAAGTCAAAGTGTTACCTCAATGAGCTCAACCTGGCGCTGGTGGGTAGTCCTGGTGCCGTGGAGCAGGGTCCGTGCCTCATCCAAGTGTGCCTTGAGCTGCAGGCTCTCATTATACAGGACAGAGAACTGTGACTGCATGCAGCGGTATTCTGGAGTCTCCTTAACCACTTCCTCCACTGCACTCCGCAGTTCCACCTTGGCAGGCCCAAAGAAAAGAAGGAACACAACTATGTGTCTGTGCCCCAGGTACAAGACAGGAAATAAAATCCTGAACTCACTGATGTCCTGCACAACTAAAACAGTCCTTCTGAAGGACTCTCTGGAGGTATAACCCACTCCCCTAATTGCATAAATCTACAATAGTGGAAAACTCTGGCCCCAACCTGTTCTCTTTATTAGCAGTGAGTCACAAATAAATGTATTTTTGAGATTATGCAAAAAACCAGTTATGTTTCTCCTAAGCAATTCATAATCAAAACCTTAATAACTTTAACTCGAGTCTTTGCTTTGTTTTTTCATTATTCTTATGTGTTACTTGGAAATGAATCTTATTATATATAAAAGAAAGAGAACTATGTTGGCAACAGGGATAGGAAGACTCCCAGAATGTCCTTCCTTCCCCAAGGAACGTGAAGACAGAAAATTCCACTGGGCATGTTCTGGCAGCCAGAAATCTATGGTAATTACTGACGTGTGAGTGACCTCCCTCGCAGAGTATGTACGCACTTGCTTCTTTGTACTTGCTATGCACATGTATGTTTCTGGGCGTTTTTTAACGTGTATCTGAGTTTGATTTTACTGCCCCTCAGTGACATTTCTCCTACCTTCAGCTTCTCATTTTGTGTAGTGACCTCCTCAAAATCCTGCCGAAGTTTCTCCAGCTCAGAGTGACGGTTTTGGGCCAATTCTTTGTTCTCCTCGAGCTCAGCATTCATTTCTTCAAACTGCACAGAAGCAAGAATTATTAAAATGAGAATAAAAAAATAATTATTCTTCAATAATTCCCAATTCTACACCTCCAGTCTTCACTGATACACATTTCCAGTAAAATCCCATATGGAGGACACAATAGCTGGCCTGGCACTAGCTCCAACATTTCCTTAGTAAACCAGTATTACCTTCCGGGCATTGATGGTGATGGTACCACCATAGAGACTGCTCCCAGCTCCATACACTTTGTAACCTTTAGAATTCACCTTCAGAGAAAAAAACAAGCTTCTTTAGTAGAAGACCTTAAGATTTTATTTAGCTTTATAGACAATGGCAGAAGTCCATTTTCTACCCCAAACACCACGACCTAAGTTTGTTTTCTTTAAATAAGATAGCATTTACCCGTTCGAGGACTTCTGCTAAATGTCGGTTGAGTCGCTGCTCCCGCTTTCGAATTTTGTCAATATCCCACTGTAAGTCGTCAATCATGGACTCTAGGACAGACACTCGTGACTCAGCCATCTCCACTTTACCCTGCAACTTGGAGAACTACATCCCAAAGACAAATATTAAAAACAACAACAACAAAAAAAGGTATAAGGCCAAGCTAGAAAAGGAGGAGCATAAGTCCCAAATGCCATAAAAGTAATCTGTGCTTACAGACAAGATGCTTCACCCTCTACAGAAATAAAGTAATTTCTACAGAAATCATTGCTTCTTTTAAAAGTCCTGGGTTAGCTACAATCATAAAAACCACAGGAGCTATATAAATAATTCTCTTTGAAGTTTAATAAATTTTCTACCGTTAAAAGTACAATTTCCTTAGACCCTACACCATCAGAAAATGCGGATTTTTTTGAGGGACAAAGATACTGTCTCCATTTTACTAGACAGATATTTCAGAAGATGAAAATTCAAAAGTACATTCAAAAAAGACAGCTTGTTTTAACTACAGCTTCCACTCAGCACAGTTCCAAAAATATGATATATGGGCTATCGCAGAACAAAAGGAAGCTTCCATTTTCTTTTCAGGCTGATACTAGGGCAATCTAGAATCAGGTACTACAAAGGTATTTTAAAATCTTCGTTGTTCTGTTTATTTAGGAACTATATACAACTAAAGCAATTTAATATTTTATTTCTGTTAAGATAGTCCCTTTATGTGAATATGTGTTAGACTTAAAACGTTTAAAAATGTTAAATTAAAACTTCAAAATTATAGACTTCAGCTCTTGAATATGGGCCAACTTTAGTAACACAGTGGAAATGACACTATGGAATTTTTAAGCCTATACTAAAACAATGAGGGAGGTTCTTCCTACTGCTCTTAGAATACTTTCCTCTAGAAGAATGCAGCTGCTACATTAGAAATCCAACTACCTGAGAATACTGTGGTGGCAAGGCCACGTGAAGATGGGCCAGCGACCAACCTAAGCTGAGCTCTGAAAGATCCCTGAAGGGTCAGTGACAGTAAGAGGTCTGCTGTACCAGGACATGGTCCAGGAACACCTGAGACCATTAAGGAACTCTCAGTAGGATCCAAGTTGAAAGCAGCTCAGATCTAAGAACTGATCCATCAACACTCTTCTGAGTCAATTACCCCTAAAGGGTTAAGTACACCAGAGGAGTGCTTGCTAACAAGATCTCCTGGAATGCAGGGGGTTACAAAACAGCCTTGCACTTCCTCTAGAAGCAGATTTACATACCCATTTGCCTTGACAAAGAGAAAGAACACAGAGCCTTGATTAATCAGGGATAATTTGATTTGGTAAGATGTTTCCTGCTTTTCTTTATCCTGAGAAAAGTGCAGAAACTTTCTTTATGTATGCTATGCCCACTTCTGTAATAAAAGAGAGGGCAGCACAGCTCTATTTTGCCAGTCACCTAACAGAGCCCTTAGTCCTTCCTCTCCATATCTGAGTTTCTGTTTTCTGCAACTCAACCCACAAACACAGAACACCAGATATCTATAAGCTCCAAACTGACAAATGACATCAACCATCAGCCAGGAGAGCTGCCTTTAAGTTTAGTTAAACAAAATAGTATCTCTCCAGCTTAGTGAGGCTGAGACATGGAAAGGGCTTTTTAAGGAAGACTTTTCCCTCTTGGTAGCAACTATTTTGTCTTAAAAAGTAACAATATTTTTCTGTTTTCTTACTATCCCTCCGTCTGCCTACAAGTGTTGCTATATTCTAACCCTTCTGAAGGTTGATAAGCCTCTACATTTATTAATAACCTCAGCACATGACCTTCATGAAACCAGCTCAGCATGAAACTTGGCACTAGAGTTCAGGAAGAATGGTTAGAACAAACAATGTGGGTTTTGAAGCTAAGGAAAAAAATCTGTATTCAAATAATAATTCAACCAAATTTTGGCTGTGTGCTTTTAGACCATTCACTTAAGCTCTGAATTTTTTTCTTTAGCAAGAAAATGGTAATAGTTGGACTATATTAGCAGTAATGTCAACTGCTTGGTTCTAAGAAAATAGAAACTACTAACTTTTTGTTTGTTTTTAAATTTATTATTATTATTATTTTGTGTGTGTGTGTGTGTGTGTGTGTGTGTGTGTGTACTGTCAAATCAGATTTGACTGGTACAGGAGGAGATTATTCCTCCTTCTCCAGCAAAGCATCTGGTGGATTTGAACCGCTCACCTCTGGGACTGCAGTGCACCTTCTTGCCACTAGGCCACCAGAGCTCGCCAGAAACTACTAACTTAATCAGCAAGACAGCTGAACCCCCAAACTAAGGTAGGCCAAATTTCAGAATTAAATACCTCAAACTAAACCAAAACAACTATTAGAAATGTCAGGAGTCTTTTTATCACTTTATGTTGGTGGTTTTAGATATGAATGAGTGACCAGATCCTGGCAAAGTTTAGTCAGGGTACTGTTTGTGCTCACATAGGCAGTAGTTTTCATTGCTCCATTCTCTGTTAAATCTTTATTAACTCATTCCTCAGCAACACTATACATCAGTGATGTTTTTTCCTTTAACTTGGGGCAATTTATTATTTAAGAGCTTAGAATTTTTGGTTTCTTAAAACCCCATATGATGGTTACATCTTCCCACAGGAATATAATAAAGAGAAACGTTTACTTCTTTTCCTTAAACTTTCCTCAGACTTCAATTCTTCAGAACTAGTGCCTACTTTGGCCTGCTCTGCATGTTCTTGAACATTAAAACAGGCTCTCTGGACTAAGGCCATCTTTGAAGCATTCAGAATTCTCAGTCAAAGCTACCAGAGGCCACTAAATTGTCTTCCCTACTTTCTGGCCAGGTACCTCCTGAGACATGGTGTGGTGTTTCTCCTGAAGAAGATCTGTCAATTCCTGTAGCCGTATGTTCTCTTGAGCAAGGAAGGAATTCAACTCCTGCACCGCTTCCTCTATGATCAGATTATCTGCAGAAGAACAACTATGGTTTAGTTTAATATCTGTATTGTCACATTTTAAAGCACTTTGTGTGTGTACTCCACAAAAACATGCTGTCTCACCTCCTAACATTATCTCATGTTTCTCCTCAAGCCTTTAGAACGCAGACTAGTTATTATTACCTTCATGTGTCTAAAGTGAAATCACCAGAATTTACATAACTTGCTTCAAGAAATTAGTCAATTTTACATTTCTGTAAACAGTCTATTAGTCTGCTGCATTTCTGTAACAGCTACCAGCTCCCATCTCTTTCTATACAAGGTCTTGAGAAAAGAAAATATTGTTTTATTCATTTAGGGTATAAATCCAAAAAATTTAAAATTTCAGATTGCAGAGTGCTCTCTAATCAGTATCAGATTAAATAACAATATAACTGGAAAATATTAAAAGGTTATCACAACTTATAATGATTAACTACCATCATAAAGTCTCTCTCAATTGGGAGAGAGAAGAGGAGCAGGAAGTAGAAATTCTTCTTCAAATATCTACAGAATCCTGAAGAAGAAAGGTCAGAGCACAAAATCAAGTATCATCCTGAAATGCTATGCTGGGGTAAATGTTGAGGTGCAAAATATAAAAAACAAAAACCTTCAAAACTTATCACAGTAATGTCTAAAATTAAGAGTTACAAATAGGATAGCTTAAACCCAATGTTATTTATAAAACCAGGTAGCTGTGATATCTAAGGTTCAGAACACTAAATGAGAAGAATTATGCTCTTGCCATAACATTCATTATCCTTTGCCCATTTTTCAATTGGGTTGTTTATCTTGTTGTGGTGTAGTATCACTCTTAAAAACAGGACATAGAATAAGATCTAGAAGGGAGATCTTCAGCCAAAGGGAGATCTTCAACCAAGACCGACCATCAGAATAATTTGTGGAATTTTAAATGAAACCTTTTCCTAAAACCCATGCATAACTACTCAATCAGTCTCCAAGCTGTTATTATTGATGGGTGTCACTAAGTCAATTCTGACTCACAGAGGACCAGGAAAATAGAGAACTGTCTCACAGTTTTGCTGGATTTCATTCTGTGGAAGCCAATCTCCACATGTTCCTTGTGCAAGCTGATGAGTAAAAGTGATCTGCTAACCTTCGAGTTAGCAGCGAAGAGTACAAGCACTATACTACCAGGGCTCTTATAGTCTCCATATATTAAAACACCAAATCCTCTACAATCTAGTCAATTCTGACTCAGAGCAAACCTACAGGACAGAAAAGAACTGCCAACAGGTTTCCAAAGCTGTATATATTTATATCCGGACTGCCACATCTTTCTCCAACAGAGTGGCTGGCTGATGAGTTTTTATTGCCAGAATTCGGGTTAACAGTCAAATTCTTTTACTACTGCATTAGAGGTCACCTCAGGGTCTCCAGGGCAAAAGTGAAAAAGCGCATGTTCAAAAAACTCCTGAGATGACTTGGATGTATTCCTCAGAGTAAGAGCTTAGAACTGAATTGTACTCATACCAACATTCTAAGAAATGAGATCAGCTCCATAAATATTTAATAAACAAGCCAATTAAATAAGACTTGAATCAAATAAAAATGGGATAAAAATGACCTTAAAAAAA